CGTGCATGCGAGTAGAGCTGAGATGTACTGAACAAAGAAATCGGATCAACACAATCCCAAATCAGGTGTGAACAGACAATGTTCTCCAACAATCAATTTAGTCCTCGGTTGATTGGAATCGATTCGGGTGTACTTCGGAATCGAGGAGGCTGTGCATCCGAAGGAAGCGAAAGTTGATAAAGAAAAATAAGAAATATCTACTACTAGGTTTGGTCAAAAACAGTCAGTTAATATATTTACAGACACATTACAGGTATTGATCAAACTCTTGCGATATGATTTGCATTTGTGAAATGCATTCAAGTTTTGAGTATCATACCTTCAGATCTCTATCTATGAAGGACGAACGTTTATCCCAAAGTTTATATCTCACTGCAATATTCTTAGCTTCTCTCGTAGCATCGTTTGAATTTGCGTGACCTTGATTGCCACCGTCAAATATGTAGTAGTTAAAAATGTACAGCTCAGAATTAACAAATATGCCTGTTAGTCAATTGGTGAATAAATTAGTATAATGCTTTTACTGAGGCTTCGTGTTATTTTACAACGGATGCACCAGCAAACGTCGTCAAAATCGACAATTGTGCATTTTAATGGTATTTTTATGTCAATTGTGAAAATTTCAGTGGCCTCGGTGGGATTCGAACCCACGCATGGACGCTGCTTACGCTTTGTACGAGCACGCTCTACCAGCCGAGCTACAAAGCCACAGCAATAGCGTAGGCGGCATCCATGTGTAGGTTGGAATACCACCGAGGCTACTGAACGGTTCACAATCGAATCCTCAGGCTTGTCATGCTGATTCCCAAATTCAACTTAAACTAACATAGAGGAAAGCCGCCTGAGAGTTTAGTCCGTGTTTTTGGTGTCGGTTTGGTTCTACTGGTAAAATGTTCCGCAGAGAAAAAGCCACTGTAAATCATCTTGCCATTTTTAAGCACTTAGTTTATCTGAGCAGTGGCCAGCGAAAAACTAGATCCGATTACTGTGTGGTCGGAAAAAAACCAACCATTCCTAATATCTATCAAAAGGACTTACCTAAAGTGTCGAACCCTGACGGTCAGGAGAGTTCCATAGATTTGAAAAATTGATCTGACACGAAATTTTAACTAATATGACGAAAGATTTGTGAATAATTACTTCCTTCCCATGAGAACTCAAACGGATTGTAATTATCATTTTACTAGTTTAATACCAGCAACGCACATGGGAGATAAGCACATTCAATACAGACAACAACCTCCTTCAAAAGCGGTCCCGAAGTCTGTCTTGTCATTTCGCATCAACAAAGATCCCTAATTGTTCGTGACCCTATGAGCCCAGTTGGTTCTTGTAGTGCTTTTGTGATTGTAAGCATAA